AACATTTTGTGATTTCCAAAAAAAAAAAAAAAAAAAAAAAGAGTTAGCTTTGGCACAAACAGAACAGCAGCAGTGGTTTTACAAGATGGAAACTAATTATTTTCACATTTCCATGATAAAGAGAAAGTAAAGGTGGCTCTACAGGCAGGACAGAAGTGAGACATGATTATCCCATTTCACATTAAACTATTACTAACCTAACCTAATGTAATTAAAGATAAACAGACAGGTATTGGCTGATGATGCAAAACTATCAAGTCATAGGATTTGGCAATTGCACTATTTTAACCCCTTACTCTTCTATTTATCTTTGTAACATGTTTCAGATTATTTTTTCTCTGTATGAATGATGCGCATAGGTCTTTTTTGTTAGTCCAACTGAAACTAACCATTATTTTCATTATTCAAACACACGGAAAAACAAACACTTTACATTCACGGCTTCAAAGATCTCCTAGCCAAGTGTCTTGAAGATGATAAACATATCACTGAACTAAGGGATTAAATGATTAACAGTCTACACACTAAAGCAAAGACCTTTGGTTTTAGACCGTGATAAAACAAGGTATCTGGCACTTTTTATTTACTGCTAAATAATAATAAGGCTGCACTCCCACAATTGGTGCACTTTTCCAGTAGAACACCAAATCGAAGAAATTGAGCGCTCCCCAGATCAAATACTATAAAGTTCTTGCACATGTCAGTCACAGCTGTTCCCTGCACTGCACAGCTTTAAGTTTCTGGGATGCAGCATGAACGAGTGACATTAAAAACAACAACAAAAACAGACCACAAATAACAGACTGCTGAAAAAGAGAAAAAAAACAACTAAGGTAGAAGGCAAAGGGTTTGTTTGGAGAAGCAGGCCATCATCTGCTGTGAAAACACTTCAGAGTTAGGGCAATTTCTTGGTCATAATCATGTAGCCCTATTTACATAAAAAACATTAATCATGAAAAGCAGTGAAAATTAAAATTACTGTTTGTTTCAGCCTCATTAGGCAAGGAAAGGTATGCACCCAGAAAAGTACAAACAATGCCAACTGTGGCGTGACCAGCTGTAGTAGCTGAGGCATTACAAAGAAAGAAGCTTAAACACACTTGAGGTAGCAGCCAAGGCCAAACAGCAGGGCGTGTAGCTAAAGTTCACTGAGGTAAGCCTCTGCAATTACTTCCACTTCATGTTTACTCAGGGAGTTTGAAAATACGGTCAGTGCAAAAGTCCAGATTGTCAAGTTTTTAAAGCAAGAGAAGAAAACAAGTGAGTGGCAAAAAGGGTAAGAAGAATGGGTATATAGAGCAAAAAACGCAGTCACAACTAGGGATATTACAGAGATACAAATATAGAAATATCCATAAATTGGGCAACTACCTCAAAATTTAATCTAAGAGCAATTACAAATTAACAACATGACACATTTGACATAAAATGTGGAAGATGATGCTGAAACTCTCAATACTTCATACTCTTAATTCTGTCATTATGAAAGCAACACGAGAGGCAACAACGTGTGATTTCAGTAAACCTAACACCTAACCCACAGAAATATGTAATATGTAACCCCAATCGCCACCTCCAATCTAAGATGCCCTAACCATAACTGTGACAATTCATAATGCAGACTGACAGCCAGGGCATTAGAGGACATATACCCCGAAGTATGTGTGTGCAAATGTGTTTCAGAGAAACAAAGCAGAGACCCTTTCACTTTCTCTCTCCTTTCCTCTGTCACTATTTGACACAACCCACCTGAAGATGTCATATTTTGTATTTAACCCCGTCAGCACGATGGCTGTGACAACCAAAACATAAACAGATGATTTTAGTAAGGCTGAGATTTTAACCTTTAATGACTGCACCAGAGACGTGCGATTCTTCTCAAAAGGTTTAAACCAGCCCACAGAAATCAGTATGGGGCTCTAAACTCTGCCTGAGTTTACCTATACTGGAAAGAAATAGAAAGAAGTTCCTATTCCCTACATTAAGATTGCTTATATTTCATAAAAATAATATGACTCTTATTGGACTCATTTTATTTTCTCATGGCCGTGGCCCCTTTCAAAAATTTAAATAAAATAAATAAATCACACAGTGCTTCACCCTTAATGTAAACGCACAAGTTTTAGTTTTAAATGTAGACAAATTTGACATTTTTCATTCTGCATGACTAACTTCCATAACATTTATGGTCCATATAGAAATCCCTTCATAGGGCACAAACCAAAACTGACTCCAAGCACCTAAACTTGAGCACAGCTTGACTGCAAAACCGGACTCTCATCCTGAGCCGAAGGTAGACAGACAAGCTTATAGAAACTAAATCAACTAAACACAATACTCTTGAAAGATTTCAGATATTTTATACTAGACTTAGACTGACCTAAAAGCTTAATTTACTTACCCCTTTCTTAATAATTTGATATTAAGAAAGACATAGAACACCCCCCAAACATGTGACATCAGGAGGTAGTTTGATACATTTTTAGTACTTTTGCACAACTCTGCTAAACTTGTGTACAAAATTTAACATTCACACTTTTATTTTAAGCATGTTTGACAATTTAGAGGTTTGGGCTGCTGAACACCCACCGACGTTCACTGCTCCACAACTTTTTTGATGCCCAGGACATGATCAGTTGCCTGACAGCAAACAACCAATCACAGCTATTTTTTGTCACAGCCAGTTTAAATGAAAGCGAGAGTGCCAAACGAATAAATATTCTGTCTGGAAACAATCGCTGCTTTCATTCAGGGAAAAGCACATGACAGATGACAACAACGCAGAGTTAAAAACATTAACAATTCATCACAACAACTACACAATCACAAACCCAAATCACAACTTTGCTCCAAGCCCCGGGGAAGTGGGATTTTAAAAGTCAGACTCCCTTCATCTTACTTCGGCCCACAAAGACAGCAGCTAAAGCCTTACATTACATTTCCCTATGCCTCCCTCCAAGTAAACCAGCTGCAACAGCCTGTCAAGCACCAACTCCCTGCTGTAGCCGGTAGACAGATACAGTGACAGGACAGCCTGAAGGTATATCATCCAATGACAACCTCTGCCAGACACCAACAGCAAACCCAGCTGACCTCAAAGGGAGCACAAACTCAGCTTAAAGCCACATGTCAACTCAATTTGGTGGAGATTTAGAAAACATTTCAGTAAAATACTATTCATAATCTTGGAAACTTCATCGCTCTCATAATTTATAAAGTACTAAACAGTCTGTACACATCAGTGGTTCCCAAATGTGTTGGACGATCGCGTGACAATCACACATTATTAATGCAATTCGCAAATGAACAAAATGCAATGCATAAAATGTTAATTTTCCCCACCAGTACTTTGATTGCACTCATTCCCCGAACAGAAGCAAACTCTGTACCCTAAAAATATGATCAGAGACTTCAAAGGGAACCCCATTCTGTTCACACAGTTGCAGGGTGGTGGGAATTATGAGAGCGTGACAAATCAAAGGCCCTGACTGACAGAGAGGAGCTGACAGCAAAAATCTGCAAGGCAGGAAATACATCACTCTGTTGTTTGGAGCAAAATAAAAATGAACTGCCAGTGCAGACCACCCAGCACCTAAAGAAAGACTATAAGACAGCATTGTGAAAGCTACCTGCTTTATAGATTCAGGTAGACTGAGAATGTCAAGACATTTGGCCTGCTTCAAAAGAGCACTGGATGTGTAACAAGGCAATGGAAGCACAGTGTATACTTGCTGAGCAGCAATTAAAAAAAAGACAAAGAAATTTCTAGATGCTGCAAATGGTTTATCAAGAGGGCCTGCAGCAATGCATTCCAAAGAAGGGTTGATGGCATGTTTGACAGAGGCTGCTTTGCACAGATGATTAATAAGTGTGCCTTTGAAGATCAGCCCTGCCCTTTGCTGCCTGTTCAGAAGAATATGTTTAAAAACAAAAACCCACTGGTATACATAACCAGATTTTAAACCGACAAGCTATACTTTATATACTGATGATGCCTTTACTGGAACCCCCCCATCAGCTTTTATACAGCTCCATGCTTCCAATTTTCCAATTATCAACACTTCCACAAGAGCTCTTATCAACCAGAAAGTAGACGCACAACCCAGAAAGATAAAGGCAAACTCCTGGTCTCTGCTTTTAGATGAGAACAATGCTTTTTGTGTAACTGAATAAATTATCATACATCAAGGCAGTGTGACTGCAGTTTGTTAAGTGACATTATAGATGGAAAAAACAACGGGAAACCACTGATTCATTGTTTTTGCTTCTAAATGATACTCTGTTAGCTCAGCTCAGAGGATGTGCTCATACCAAATACCAATCTCATACCTTTCTTTTCTCAAAATTCAAACTCTGTTTATCTTACTGGAACAGATACTAAAAAAAATGAAGTCCCATGGGAACTGAATAACCTATATTCAATATTTAAGTAAAGGCTTTCAGACACACACTTAATAAGCATCATGTCAGCTTCTAATACATATGTAAGCAGGGAAACCTCACATTTTCATTTGTGCATAGTGTCAAAAACTCCCTGAGGTGCTGCTTAACCCACTTTTGTAACCTGAAAATTTAAGAGTGCAGAGTGAAATATTACTGTCAATATAATTACAATTCTCCAGGGTCAAACAACAATGGCTCCACAGACCACCTTACTGCTGGGGAAGGGAAAACTCAGCAGCAGCCTTCAGCTCAGGTTTGGTTCTGCTGAAGCACTTGCACGCACACATGGATGTGCACGCACACACAAACTCTAAACCATTAATCTTGTTAGGACCTCTTACAGGAGCTCATGGCAACAAACTGACACAACCACAAAAGCACATGCAGATTTAGACACACAAGCACAGGCACCCCCGCCCCTCAAAAAACACACACAATGTTGCTCCCTTATGAAACACACCCACTACATGACAACAGTAAAACCATCTTGACAATGTGACTCAACTTGGTGGCTATCCAATTCAAGTGTGGCAAAGTAAATGAGAAAACGCACTGACCGTGACTCGGGCTGAGAGCCATGTTGCCTGAATTCAAGGCTTCATCAAAACGAGCAAATATCGTCTGTAACCTGGAGAAAGAGAAAAGGAAGATTAGTAGTGTCGAGCACAGATATACAGTACAATATTAATATCACCAAAGCTGTCAAACCAAACATATTTGAATGAAGAAATTAAGAAATTACAATAAAGTCCAGATTTAAAAAAAAAAAATCTGAGCACCCCACAGAGATGTTCGACCAAAACACAAACAAGGTGCTAAGAATTCCAAATGAGACTCATCATCAAAATCAGCAGCAGAAGCAGCAGCAACATGTGGACAGTCTCCACGCCTTTCTGTCTGATTGTGGGTGGGTGTGTCTATTATGGCAGTCACACTCATGAAGCTGCAGCAGCAACACCCCAAGTGTCCTCTTATAACATCCTACTAGCATCAGACAGACACACATGAAACCACCAGCCAGGTCTGCTTAGTCATGTGATTAATAGGTAGCATTGTCAGCGTAGTAACAGGGCAGATATCCAGCACAAGCTAAAATAACTTGGTCATCCTCGAAATGCACAACTGGTTAGACAAAAACACAACAAAGACTAAAACACATGACCCCGAATAACATGCCTTTATGTCTGCTTTGCCGAAAGGTTAACCACGGATGGGCGCACACAACAATTAGAGCAATACACACCGTGCTCTTTCTGTCTGTCTTTTGGTGTCTGCTTGCCGGTCCACAACCGCCAGACAGCTAAGCAGCTTCTGATAAGTGACGATTAGCGTTGCAACTAGCTCCTCAGCCGTGCACCATTTTCACGTGGTTCGCTTTCTTTCATTACCATTTTGTGCATCTATTTGTTTCAGCAAAAATCTAGCATTTAGTCTTCAGCACTGATTTGCATCAGTATTTCCCTGTGGGCTGATTAATAGCTTGCTGCGTTGCTACGCAATCTTGCATTAGCTCCCATGTTGGTGACACACTCTGGTCCTCAGCTCCCCTCAGCTCTTTGTATCCAACATGGTGCAGTGGCGCCGAGAGGGAGGGAGGGAGGGAGGAAAGAAGACGGGAAGAGAGGGAGGGAGCGTGTGTGTGAGAGAGAAAGAGAGAGGGGGGAAGCCAAACGGCGAGAGACCAAAGCATGCTACGGGCATGCGACAAAGCACCACCTACTGTCACGCATACACACTGTACACACAAACGCCAACTGAACAACCTAAACAGCAGTACGTACAGTAAATTTCCAGGAAGCGTCTTTGTGTGTCTGTATGAGCAGGAGAGAGAGTCAAATGGGCCAGTTTGTGTGACAGACAGCAACGAGATTCAGTTACCCTTTACATAACCTCCCTCTCATACACAGACACACACGTACTCGTCAGAGGGGGAGGGGCTGTGTGGCTAACAGCAGACAGCGCTGCTCCTCCCCCCTCAGTGTCTCGCCTTCTCATCCCACTTGCACATGTTCCCTCCCTCTTCTTATTTCTATCTTTTATCTTTTTATCGCGGCCATTGATAAACACCTTTGTCCAGCAGAGGACTCATGTCCTTCAGGTAACTCATCTCCAAATCAAACCACATGAGGCAGGCCTGATGAATGCTCACTCAACCAGCATTTGACCTACTTATAGGAAGCTGCTGTCAGATGGTAGCCCCTCGTTCTCACCAGTAATGGACCCAAGATTACAACTGTACTTCCAGACACAACGCCAGTAAATAAGCCAACTGTAAAATTAAGTTCCACTTTCAGGTTTCTTCATGCACCATTATGTCATTTGAAATAGGTTTGTAATTTCAATCTAAGTCTCATTCACAACACCTGATCACCAAATCCAAGAAGTGTTTTGGCTCGTGTCAGCAGGTTTAACCTGTGTCTAAACATCTGATCTGAGGTCATAAGATATGCACATCTATATATTTATTTCACTGAAAATTGATTAGATGAAATGACTCATTATGAATTATCTCAAGTTAGAACTGGAACATTTTGAGACTGTTGTAAGGGGGGGGGAATGTATTTAATTATACAGATAATCCCATCAAAATTCAGTGTCTCATTTACAACAGAGAGCTGTTTCAAACAGAAACTTAATTTTGGGAAATAGCTTTTAACCATTTATCTGGCACAGTCCAAAAGAGGTTTCAGATTGTAATAATCACTTGCCTCCACGTATCTTTAAAAATCTGTGCTTGTTTGGTATTTAAGGGATGTGGACATACTCATCCAACAATTATTCCTCTTTTATGACTTCATCTTTCTGTCCATTATCTAATGCCAACTCTGCAGAGTTGATATGTCATCAAGTCAGCAAGATCCTGGCCAGAGCTTTGCTTTCCACTAGGTAACCCTTTGGGTTGCTCCATATGAAATCAATTATTAAATAAACAAAACAATTGAAATTGAATTTTTTTAAAAAAATCCCACTGTACAATAACATTAGTATATTAGGTATATTAAGTTACAACCCCTCAAATTATAGGGGTGGACATTTTTGTACTTTATAATATGCGTTTGCGTTATTTTTTCCAAGCATTACACGACACTTGAAGTGGTTGTGAAACTGATTTGGCTGCAGTTTTTAAACAGAGCTTTAATGTGTTTTCACTCTGAAACTTTCACAACGATACCTACTGTAATGTTTTGAAGCCTCAAAAATTAATTAGTAAATAAATGCATAAAACAATTTAAAAAGCACAAAATTCTCACATACCTCTATGGGTCTGTAACTCAGACAACTTTCATAACATGAAGGTAAAAATTTAGCATGGCTTCATTAAACATATGAACAAAAAACACACAATGCAATTCCAACAGCTTTGCTCCAGGTTTTGTACTAAGGCTATTTGCCTATAGCAGACCTGAAGCTGACTGAAACATCACAAATAAAATTAATGAGAGTTTTGATCAGTAAAACTGCAGTATTGTAGATATTCTCACCCCTATTCTTATACAAACTATACAAAGTAATAAAAACTGGTTTGGGAGATTCGCGATACATACAATACATATAAAAATTCACGTGCAGAATTCAGTAATAACTATACACATCTGTTCAGGAAGAACAAGCGCAGGCTGTAAATCACTGCATTTGTCAGGCCTCCGATATTTAAATGAAGGCAGACAGCCACACCACTCTGTAAATCCCACACATTCAGACAGTGTGTTTACACTGGAGACGGACTGGCTTAATATGCACAGCACATGACACATGACCACAGCCAGCATTCACAGACGCAAGAATCATACTGAGCAGATACAGCACTGGCCGTTGCTCGACTCTCACACATGGGAGAAAGCAGTAAAAAGGGGGCAGAAAAAAGGGGTCACTGTGTGCTCAGAATAACCTTCAACCCTGCACATGTAGCCAGGACGACCAAAGCGGGACAAACCCCCACATTAAACCTCTTCTGATGACTCGAACACAGTTTTTCCAGTTTTTACCCCCATTTCTGTTACTCCACCCAACGCCTTTGTACCCCGTGGCTGCACCCTCTCACCCTCCTCCCTCATTCAGTCGGCATTGTGCTCTGGATGAAAGTGCCTCTGTGTGTCTGAAGGGCAGAGTGGTGCATGGTGTGGCTTGGGACAAACTGAGTGCCAAGGCCACGGGACTCCATAGAAACACAGGCAACAACAAACTCAAAAAATAAATATAAAAATAACAATAATTTAAAAAAAAATACTACGAAAAAGAACAAAAACTCACCGTGCAGCTGGAAGTCCTCTCTTTCCAATGTCTGCTCTGACCTTCTCTCCAACGTGACGATAAACATCCACCAGCGTTGTTATTGATGCCTCACGTACCTAAACAGCAGACGTTCACCAATTTAATAACCCTCCACATATAAACACATGGAAAGAGATTCAAGTGATGGGTTACCTAGCACACTATAAAAAAAAAGATCTTTGTGTTTGTTAAGACTGAGATAGATTCTCCCTCATAATTCGACAAAGATTAGACTCATGCTCATAGACTAAGAGACGCAAACATGCAAACACACTAAAAACTAAACCCGTGAGAGCCCATACTCTTCCCTCCTATGGGAGCCATATGATTTGCTAGTTATTGCTGTAAACACTGTTGTGATTGGCTACAAAGATATTGTTGAAGGGATTCTTAGCACCCAAGGGTAGGCAGGCCTTTCTAGGATGTTGATTGGCCAGGACAGTATGTGGGTAGATAATGATTGGGTAGAAGATAGAAGCAGATTTCAGCTTTGGGGTGCAACTCTGCAGGAGGTTAAACCAACCTCTCTCTATTCCTCACACTGACTGACACACACACACACACACACACACACACACACACACACACACACACACACACCTAATACTCTTGTGTGGTTTAACAACTGGGTGCTCATGATTCAGCAGTGAAGCTGGGTGGTGGGTACAGAGCCCATCTCCTCACTAATAACAGTAATAATCACAGAGCTGCCTTAAGATGAAACCCAACACACTTTGACTGCTGAGAGCTGAACAAAAAGGCTTATCGACAAACTGGCTCAACAAAAACAATGACGAGCCACACGCAGTCAAAACAAACACACACAAAAAGGTACAATTTTCCCACCATCATGTAATCATGTATAACACTGCAGCTCTTACCTGTGGGTTTTGGTCTCCTGTCAGCGAGCAGAGATGAGGAACTATTTTACTGAGGCTCAGCGGTTGGGCTCCATACCTGAGAGTGTGAAACAGAGGCACAAGAGGAAACGTAAAAGAGAGAGGTGACAGTTGCCAGTGATAAATATAATTATCTGGTGTTCTTTTATAATTCTTTTATAAATCTTGCTCCGCTCATTGAAAATATTTTTAGAAATTTGAAAAATATATCTATTCTAAGGCAGACTGACCTTTTAGTAGCCTGTTATAAGCTACAAACACTATCTACAAACCACACACACACGCCTCAGAAATTTAACATCACACAAATATAAAAAACATTAGCAGACAAAGATGGTTTCTTAATTTCTTCTGTTTTGTCCATTCCAGTTATGTAAAAAACCCCCCCAAAAACAAAAAACCAACAACAACCAAAAACAAACCCCAAACAAACCCACGCTTAGCTTTCAGAGCACTAACTGCAATACAATGCACTGTTGGTGTTTTCACAACTCTCTGAAACTCCACTGATGGGCTGGAGCACCAGAGAGCACTCCTAATAAGATGAAAATAAAAGCTGCAATAACGTCTTAATTATTTACATTGACCCAGTCCTCTAAGAGGACAAGTGGACCAAAACCACACCCTCCATGCACAACAGACCCACCTGATCCACTCACCCTAGAAGTAAAGAGCTCAGGTTTTAAACTTTTAACCTGTCTGTATGTTCACTGTGTACTTAACAAAAAATAGAAATAAGTGAAAACCCAGAAGCAGCCCATTTCTATGCCATGTTTTACTCATTCTACTCACTCATTATGGATGCCCGGGTACGTAAAGCACACATGCTCAGTGTATCTATTACATAGCAGCTTAGCATTTAGCACAACAGTGTCACCTTCCATTAGCAAAAAGATGCTAAAATTAGCACAGCAATTCTAATAGTCTAAATTTGCTCTGTGTGTGGGTGAGCTCAAGGTGGAAAACAGAGTAAAGGCCAAACCACACAGATCTCGACTGCTGAGAACAAGCAGCAACAAACAAGTACCTGTACAGACAGAAGTGTCCCTGTAGTCCTACACACACAACCTGTCGTAACTACAACCTGCCATCCAACAACTTACTGCCCAAATCTGAATAAAAACCAATTGCAATGAAATCAAAAAGGTTAAAACCCATATTTATTTGAAAACAGTAGAAATGCAAGAGATAAAAGACTACAACTGAGCAATGTTATTTTTTTGCTTTTGTTTTTTTTTTTTTTAAAGGTCATTTTTACCCCTCTGCCTCCCAGCAAATTTCAAATTCCTATGTTGCTTTCTTCTCATTTATTGCAGTGACAATATTGACAAAAAACCTGACCTCTGACCTTGAGGTCAAGGTCACCGGGATTGAAACTCTTCTGAGATTTTTAGTAAATGTACATATTGTTTATGTTTGAAACATTCTATGTGACCTTGTTGTCAAGTCATTGCATTCACAAACTTAGCTATCCATGCCACCCGTCCGCCTGGAGGGGTGACGACAATACCCCAAACAAGCCACACTTAAAAAGAGTTTGTAAACAACTCAATTTTAGTAACTGATATTTTGTCTTTAAAACTGCATCCTGCTCTAGTCTCATAACATATTTTGAAAAGGGACAAGCTAGTGGTAGGTGGGGAAATGGGAAGAAATGTGCACCACCTCAGAGTCACACAAACAGTTAAGAGGATTAATCCTGGAAAGTCGGAACATGTGTGCTCCTTGAGCAAACAAAATAGGTCATGGAAGGTGGTGGTAATAGCTCTGTGCAGCCCTCACTGAGCCAAACACTTACTAACAGAGATTGAAAGCAGCGTAGGATTGCATAATCTGTGTTATATTATCCACCACATTATGAACTTACTTAAGGATTAAAATATGAGATTTAACACACAGAGAACAAAAAACATTGCCTATGCTTAATAAACTTGCCATTTCATTCTGGGAGCATTACAGATAAAGGAGAAGTTACTCACATGTTGAGCGTGGCACTGAGACAGAGGCAGATTCCTTCTCGAGAGCGGAAGTTCTTGTGCTTTAAACCAGGAAGCAGCCTTTCCCAAACATACTGCATGAAGGAGAACAAGAAGGATAAAAGTGTGAGCAAGAGTAAGAGAGAAAAAAAAGAAAAAGAAGGGGTGTCAGTAGGTCATCATCAACTCATCATTGGATGAGCAGTTTATGGAGTACAGAGGAGGGCACAATCTATGGAGATGAGCACGTGAGGCATGTGTAAATAAAACAAAGCATTATGGAATAACTTGTGTAATTCCTCCAATATCCACAAGAGGGGGTGGATAGGTAGAGTGCAGGCCCTCTGTAGTTTTTTTTAATGCATTACTAATATGGAGGTGGCTTTAATTTGCCTGTATTTTTTTCTCTGCTGTGTCACATTTTTAGAATAACTTTTTCTAGAATAACTACAACTCAATATACATGTCTTGTATAAAATTTAAATGACATTTGACAAAACTGTCTTCATCTTACATGTGGTACACTGGAGGATTTACCTGTTTAGCCAATGATGTGTGTGTGTGTGTGTGTGTGTGTGTGTGTGTGTGTGGTGTGTGTGTGGGTGGGTGTGGGTGGGTTGTGTTTCACCATTGGTGAGGCAGTCTGTTCCATGCAGCGAAGGATGAGGGCTTGGCTGTTCTCCCTGACCTGGTCCTTGCCATCACCCAGCCTGTCCACCAGGGCCGGCAACACTACACACACAGAGAAAGGGAGTGGGTGGTGAGTAAGAGTCTATGAAAAACAGTTCACTGTGCATGCCGCACATGACACCGAAACTCTACAAGATTTAAAAGCCAAAGATATTTAAGACAAACAAAAAAACATTGCTGTACAAAGTTGAATGTTCATGCTTAATATCATATGAGTGTGTCTGATAAAAAAGGGGAAAAAAGGAAAGAAAGCTTAAGTAATACAACCATCAACACCGTAGCTTTGACTAGAAAAGGGGAATGAGAGGGCACCAAATAGGAAATGGACCATGGCTAAAATAATGTCAAATGCCCCCGTGTCAGAGAGGCTGATGTAATGCAGTGACAAAAGAAAGCCCTTTCAATGCTGGAAAACCAAGCTATGAGAACTGCAAGTTACTCCAATTCTCCCAATTCAGGAATAATAATCTTTGTACATCTGTAGTCTGAAATTGTTTTTTTGCTAATAATTATTAGTCCCTTTCCCCAAGCCTATCAGGTCTGTGGGGGGAAAAAAATTCCAATCACCACAGTTTGTATGTGGGTGTGTGTAGTGTATTTGGATGACATGGTTTGTGTGTGTGGCATGTGCGTGTGCAGTCTAGCTGCACCCTGTTTGACAGGACTAAGCTATAAATAAATTAAATATGGATATTTATTTATAAACATTCATATTATTTTATGCAAAAAAGGTCAACAGGTCTACTACCAGGACAAAACACTCCACCAGCTCCCAAACTTTTCCAAAGCAAAATAAGAAAAGGAAAAAGCAAACAAAAAGGACAAACCTCACAACCTTGTCCACGCTTCCATCTCCATTAACCCCTCATTAACCCTACATACCTGCTCATACTCACAACAATAACAAACTACTGCAACTTAAACAGTGACACTAATTCATGACGTACTAGTGTACAAGCACAGTACTGTATTTTCAGAACACCAGCGATAAAATATGACACCAAGCTCTGATGATGTTATCGAACAAACGTGCTGTTAAAGTTAAATAAATTTTGTTTTATCCATCGCTAGCTATCACAATTTGCCCCACCCAACAAATAGATGGGATTGGTGCACTGCTATGCGACATAACCCTGGGCTGTCCACGGCTTTGAGACTGTCATTGGTGCACTGCAATTTCAAGAGAAGAAGAAAAAGGTCAGGCATTATTATAAAAGAAAGGAAAAAAGAAAGGAAAAAAAGGCAGGACTTTTTTATTTAGCAGTGGAGGTCAATGCTACAGAGGCTTTGGATACACTAGTTGTCTTGTTTAGTTGGGTCACTTCATTGTTATTTTAATTAGTTGGATTTGTTGCAAAGAAAT